AGAAATCTCTCGTAAAGGTTTCTCGACTCTGCTCGAGAGTGTCTCGATCGATTCGAAACTCTTGACAATTATTCCAGCTACTTGGCTCTCGAGGAGAGAAGAATTTTAAGAAATTAAGGTTCAAATCTCCTTTCCCAATTATGATCGTGTATTACGGTCGTGGCGGTTTTAATTGTACAAGATTTTCAATAAAGTGTGTCTGCCGGTCGTGCAAACGGCCTTTCTCGGCTCTTTCTCCACTGTCACTTCCGAGAACGCGTATCATCGTCTTAATCAGGAAACTCGTACCCTGCCTCGTACCACGGCTGGATGCGCCTTAACGCTATTAATTAAGGGGAGATTAATTTCGTTACGTACACCGTGATCTCGGAACTCTAATTGATAACACGACTGTTCTTTGAAGTATGGTTCGAAGGGCGAGCCTCGATAAATTTTCGCCAAAACGACCGCGGGAACTTTCGCGATAGTCGTATAATGCAATTGTTTCGTGTCGATTCAAATTTATTATGTTATCTCGTCCACGACAATATTTTTATCTTATTACTCTTCTAAAAAAATTTTTACTTTGAAAAGTAAAAAAACGAAGAGTGAAATCGGAAAATTGGCGAAATTTGATTTTTAGGATAAATTTGTTTTGTTAAGAAATCTTCGATCCTTCTTTGTTACTCTTTCGAATTGCGAACGAGTCGTATCAGCGATTGTTCGACCGATAGCTACGCGAGAATCTGTTTCTAAGGAAAAAAGTAAAAAAAAAGAAAGAAAAAAAAAAAACTGGTTCTACGAGAAAGACTACACTCATCGTCGGCACGCATAAAAGTTTCTTCCATGTGCGGTGGTTGCACACACGTAAATACGAGTCTGACATAGATCATCCGGTATAATCGTTGCCACACGACACGAAACGACTGACCGCATACTCGAATTCCCAGAATGCAAGTCAGCGGCAACCGTGTGTAAGTGTACGGAGTGAAAAGTTAAGTTATACGTAACGCGTTGTTCTTACTCGTTGCTGCAAAATCAGGAACCAGAGTATCGTATAGAGACGACCACCCGCGAAAAAAACGGGGAAAGTATACTCATTCGACTGTAAAATAAAAAAAAATTGAGTTAAGAAATTGATAGAGTATATATCTACGCGATATATCGGTATATCAAATATATATACCGATAAAATATTCTATGAGTAAGAAAATTCTCGAAAGATTGATATTAATTCGCCGAACGATATCGCACTGTCCAATTACCTCGAACAAAACTTTATCCGAACAAAAATTATCTGTCCGCAACGTTGTTAAATATACATACATACGTTTGAAGTTATCGTATTCATGGAAATTCTTGTATTTTAATCTAATTTCTTTCGAAATCGATATATATTTACATATGTATCGTTTCGAATAACGATTATCACATTCTATTTTTCTGGATATACGTAATGTCAAATATTGCGTTCAAAAAATGCAAAAATTTCTTGATTATTTGTTTATCTGTATATATACATACATACATGTTCTTCGAATTGAGTAAGTAAAGGTAAATAAGACGAGTAACCACTTACAAACGTGTTCTTCCAGGTTTCGAACAATTTTCTTACGAAAACTTTATTTTTATAAATAAGGAAGTATAATAGCGTGCAAAATAGAATATTTTCAATTAACCTCAACAAAATTCACATAATATATTCTGACGTCAAAAATAATATTAATAATATGACCAAGCAAACTAACTACTCACGTGAATAAGTATTTAATGAAGTTTGCATCGAGTTGATGTTCAAACGAGAATCTCGTAAAAAATGTATCGATTTATAGATTTATCGATTAGTTCCAGAGATTAACATAACATTTTTCTCTAAAATTAAGAATAAATATAATCAAAAAATGGAAGACAACGATCGATTAATCGTTCAATCGTAAACGATGCACGATATTTATCTCGCGTACAACTTTAAAAATTTCGAATGTGCATTCGAATATATTGAAAAGAAAGAGAAAAGAAAGAAAATCACCAATATTTTTTGGGGGAAGAATAGAACTAACGATTACATGCGACCGTAGTACGGTCGGTACGGTTCCATCGATGATGTCCGAAGAGAGCCGAAAGCAGCCGAACGAGCACGAGGCAACAGGCGGCTCGTTTTAAACCCGTGGTCTACGGGGAGTTTTCAAAGCGGTAGGCTGACAGTAAGCCGTTGGCGTTCGGAGCGTGTGCGTCGTTTGTACGCTTACATGTCGATAGTTTCTTTTCGGTGAAAATATACGTTTCGTTACGATTGTTCTAGGTGTCGATTTTCGTTATTTTTTCTCTTCTCGAAAACGCCACGCATTATTTATACGGTTGAATTTGATGTGCAGTATCGTGATTATTGCGAGTGACGTAATATCGGAAAGATCGTCGAAAAAGTGTCGAATCACGGGATTTGTGACCATTGACCATTGACGCGCTATACATATTACGAATATATAATTGGTTAAAATTATTGGTGATCGTGCAAATGTCGAAAAAGTTCCCCACTTCCCCTCCTCGCATAATTGAGCAGTGATATCGAAAATAGAACGGGAGAAAAATTAAAATGGGTTTCGCGGAAGGTGACTGAACGGTTAAACAGTTTATCGGTTAACGCGAAAAAAACGCGGGACGAGAGCTGTTTGAAATCCCGAGTAAACACGCAGTATTCCTGAGTAGACGAAAGTTTATGTTTGACGACAAACATCGAGCGGATCGGTGAAGGTACGTGTACGTAGATACAGAAGTCCGCGTATTTGTCCTTTAGACGTTAACGGTGCCGGCTGGAAGAGATCGGTTTTCCTTTACGGAAAAGTTTAGCCTGGACCGTTGGGACGTAATTTTCACTCTAGGAATCCGATAATGGAGGTTCTCGGATTTGAAAAGCGTCGTGTCTAAAATGTTTTTCCAACGTCTTGGTAAATTGGTTTTTCGTCGAAATCTCAAGATGACGACATCGTTAAGCCGTGGATTAATCATCTTGTCGCTTTTGACTGTTTTGTGTCGGGCCAACGAATTAAAAGACTACTGTTCGATACACAAATTTGACAACTTACCACCTGGTGGTCTCAGATTTACGAAAGAAGTCGTGACAACGGAATATGCAAATATCGGAGCGTTCAAAGCCCTTCATTGCTGCCTTCGAGGATACAGAAGCATCGAATGGTGAGTCAAGTTATTTCTTTTTACTTCGATTTTCTCAAAAATATAACAACAAAAGATGACAAAGGAAAAAATAATTAAACGAGTAAACGATTGAAATATAAATACAAACGCGGAGAATCTCGAGTGTGCGTTCGTTTCGAAAGATGAGCGAAGGTTAAACGATGCGTTTAATCGAATTGATTCGAATCGCGATTAATACGTTATTCGCGATGCCACAGCGTATTTCCTATTTTCAAGCTTTGACGTCGAGTTGATGAGATATAAGGAGGAAAAATAACATTGCTGCATCTTGCGAACATAGACAGAGCAAATGTCGAGGAATTTCTCATGGTTTTACTTCGATGTTGTGAGTCACGCTTTCACGATTTGAATAGCATTCTCGACATTCGTGTAGACTGATGCAATTTCTTGTTACTTTTTTTTTTTTTTGTGCCTAACTCGACTCGAATACCTGGAAGAGTATCCGTTCTTCTCGTCAATGCGGTACATTTATCTTTCTAGCGTGTCGTCGTAGGAATATGTGTTAAACCGATTGATTAATATTATTAGTATCGCCATTATTAATACGTTCGATTCGAAAGAAGAATCGTGTTGGAGGAGAAAAATATACGTAGTTACGAGTGTATATGTATTGTAGCACGTAGGAAACGACGGTTTTCCATATAAACGTTGAAAAGCCGGCGTGTTACTTTGCGTTTTAGAAATTGTACAGTTTGTCAAAAGCGTAACAGGTTTCCAGGTAAAACAATTGTCTTGGCGAAGCGTGGCAAACGAACCGATTGTCGGCCGATATTCATGAAAAAGGGAGGGTAAAGAAGCGATCGCGGTGGTATTGTGAGCACGGCGGCTGGAGTCACGTCACCCGGTAATAACGTTTCCACGAAGCGGTTGTTTATTCCACGATAAATCTAGAAACACGGTACGAAGTACAAGATGGAAATCGCTGTAGGGGGTCGCAGTTTGAAAAGCGTTCGAGTGTGTCCCCTTCGGAACCGCAAACCCGAGCCAACAAAGACACGTTTCCGAGAAGCGATCTTTGAGGGACCTACCGTCCGATATCCCGAATCCCTTCTGCACCGGGAACTTTATTATTCCTCGGACAAAGTGGGGACCTTACCCCAAACCTTACCATTGTCCGCGTCTTCCTCCAGGTGTCAAACGGTATATTTGTCCCACGACATTCGCCGTTCTCTCTCGAGAACGAGAGGCGTTGTCGCGTCTTGTTCTCGAAAAGTCCGAGGGTTAACGGACGTGTGGCCACGTTCTTGCTCCCGCTCCCGCTCCGTCCACACCTGTTACGTCTCTATCGAGCGTGTCCATCTAAAGCATGCCGCTTCCCGCCGATCGACGCGCATCGAATTATCCAACTCTATCGATATACATATATATATACATATATATATATATAGTCTCTCTAAATTCCTCTCGCTCTCTATCTAATCTTCCTTCCTTCTCTTTCTCCGCGTGAATAAGAATATCCAATTAGATATTAATACTCCTTAGTAATCCTTTTCACTTTCGAAAGTACTTACTATATAACGTCCTCTGTAAATACCGACTACCGGATCGAAACGTTGAACGCGTATCTTTACGCGTACGTTTCTGTAAATTATTTGCTCGCTACTTTACCCACCATGTTTTTTCGCCGGAAAAATATTTCGCGAGAAAAGAAAAAACGCGCAATTTATTATTCACGCGAATTAAAGATGACGCAACATCGCATTATCGTCTCTTACACTTTCTCTTTCGCATTTTGCTTCAGCAACGAAGCAGACGAAAAAAAAAAAAGAGAAAAGAAAAAATATCACCGACATGCGCACAGAGAGAGAGAGAGAGAGATAGAGGGAGAAGGTTCCACTCCTTTTCCTGGGCTCCGACATTTTTTCCGCTTTTTTTGCTTTTTTCGCCGTAAGCGATTTTCCCTTCCTCTCTCCCCCTATCCCCCCCCTCCTCCTCTTTCCCGTTTCTTGTTCCCGCTTGTATCGCGCCGATG